TGGATTGCAGAGAGTGATTTCTTTTGCACAGGTCCAGTACCAATTTCCCAAACCGGAAGGGATGAAAGGCTTGGTTGGCCGGGAGCGGCATCGCACCATGCCCGTGATGACGGGCATCACTGCCACTGTGCTATCAGCCCCCATCTCTATTTCAAATTTTACATTTTCCAAAATTTGGCGGAACTCACAGAGATGACAGAGTGCGGAGCCAATGACACTTTACGTGCCATCAAAGCCAAAAAGACGAAAATGAATGCGTAATTTGGACTTTTCTTCCCCAGTAGAGAGTTAAGTATTTCCTACAAAATAGTTGTCACTGTAGAACACCTTCCGTATGCACTGAACTATGCGCATAGAAATAGACTTTAAAACTATAGAAAAACGACAAAAAAGTGAAAAATATGGAAAGATGTAATGCCTACTCCTCGGTTTGTTCAAAAAATAAAAATGCACCAGAATTTCTCGAAATTTAAAGAAAACAATAGGAGCGCCAGGTTGGACTTTCTGTTAATCTCGGCATTGGATGATAAATGCGTCGCCTTCTTGCTCAGCAATCGCGAGGTTGTCAGGCAGCATACATTTACTTCTATAGAAAAGCACACAATATAGCGCTAGCTGACGTTTCGGCAGTATCGCCTTCAGAACCTGGAAGGGTATACTGATACACAATCTACTTGGCCAAACGCTTCAATAACACTTACAAAAAGATGAAGAACTCTCTGGTAATTACATAATCAACAACTTCTCGGAAAATCCCACCGCTTTTTCGTGACTTCCAATGAGGAAGTTTAGAACAGCTGATTATAGTCGCATATGGTTGATGACTGCATCATCGCACTTCAAAAGCCGATGCAAAGGTGCGGGGATAGGTCGAGTGTGACCTCTGGGCATTCTTTCCTGAACATTCTAGGGTTCCTGGTATTTATCCAAAAAGGCTGAAGAAGTTTTCGTCTCGTGTGCGAGCATAGTAACTTTTACATCAAAATTGCCTCCGCTATGCTATATTTGCCTGGTTGGATACTCTGTCATGCTTTTCGTTTCCTATCTAAGTGTTCTTCTGTACGGGTGCATAAAGGTCTGTTCATTTCGCTAATATATCCATACTCGCATGTATTAAAAAAGATTACTTGGTTTTTGGTACCATTTTGTGATTTAACCGCAATCTGACAAGTTAATTTGAACATTGAAAAGTAGAAGTCGATTATCATTCGGTTTCTCCTGCGTGAATATAATGTATTCAGAGTACTCATTTCAAAGCATTTGTTCATCTCCTCCTATGTAGAGAAGATGACAAAACACTCATCTATATATCTACAGCAGAGTGCCGGCCGGAGATCAGTAACGGGGGTATCCATTTTAGATATGAACGCAATGACGAAACTTGGTGGCAACCGCTGTACCCTTGCCAGCCCCCACATTTGCGCGTAATATTTCCGAGACCATCTGAAAATCGAGCAGTTCAAGTATTCTTTTTAGAGAGCCATAAGCTGTTGAATAGACAAGCTATGCATATGTTTAACGTTTTGTTTTCTGCCTTCTATAATTTTCATGGCAGGTTACTAAGTAAGCGAAATACAACCACAACGTTGCTGAGATATTTGCAAAACTCTGGACCGCAGGTGTCTATGGTGGGGAACGAACGCGCTATTGTCCTTTCCGGGGAGTAACGCGTTCACCACCACACCATTCGGGTCCTTTGTTTCGCACGTCTCTCAGCTATTTATCACTCAGCTAAATTATAGAAGGCAGAAAACAAAACGTTAAACATTGTGATTTCAACTACAGCCATAGCTTAACTGGGTTCTATGCCGATTTGCGCTCCCCAGATCAACCCCGCTGACGGGTGATTGCTGTGGCAAAAAGATCGATAGAAATAGCTGAGAGACGTGCGAAACAAAGGACCCGCATGGTGTGGTGGTGAACGCGTTACTCCCCGGAAAGGACAATAGCGCGTTCGTTCCCCACCATAGACACCTGCGGTCCAGAGTTTTGCAAATAAGCTATGCATATGTTTGTTCCTTCATGTTGGACAAGAAGTTCGAGGATGGCTTACATTGCGGAGTCAGTCATTCGATACATTGGTGTAAAGAGCAGTAACGCCGAAGGACTCCATCAGGTACCCGTTATTAGGAGACGCGTTACGTAGACGTTCTAGAGACATTTGGGTGTTCACGAGGTGGGCTGGAATGTGGTTAAGAAAGCAATACTGGGTATTAGGTAAGTATTAGGCTTAAAAACCAGGTTATTCTATCCGTTGGCCCATCTGTCTGCACAGCTGATGATGATGGATTGGTTGACGAAAGATCATCAGATAATACCAATTTGTGTATTTGAATGAGTAAGTATGAGATGGGGCACGTTAGTCTGTTGATTTCAAAGTGTGAAATAACCAATGGTTTTATGCCTGCAGCCCTTGCCACATTGACCCATTCAATTTTCGGTATTAACTTTGTACTCCTTTTCAGAAGATGGGCGAAAGAGAGAATTATCACTAAGATGTTCTTCCATTATCTTAACATCTAACTGGAGAGGAATAATTAAGAACTCTCCCCCTTTATCGCTAGCTGACAGCCTAATGGTCTTCGAATTTATTAGTTCCCTAATTTCTTGCATGCCGCACTTTTGTGCGGCTGTAAGATTAGAGGTATAATCTTAACCTTTTTATTTACTGCCTATTCTTTTTAACGGCAGTGTATGTTGCGAAATATAACTTCTGTAATGCTGAGATATTTACAAAACTCCGGACCGCAGGTGCCTGCGGTGGGGAACGAACGCGCTATTGTCCTTTCAGGGTAGTAGCGCGCTCACCACCACACCATGCGGATACTTCGTTTCTCCTATCTCTCAGCTAGTTCTCTTTCTCGATCGATAGAACTAGCTGAGAGACAGGCTAAACGAAGGACTCGCATAGTGTGGTGGTGAACGCGTTTCTCCACGGAAAGGTCAATAGAGCGTTCGTTCCCCACCGCAGACGCCTGCGGTCCGGAGTTTTGCAAATATCTCAGCATTACAGAAGTTAGAGATATACTTTTCATAGCGATGGTGGACAAGGGTTTTGAGAGCGTAGCCCGAAAACACGCGGAATTTTGCAACGATTTCAACCTTAGGGTCCTGCTGCCTAGAGAACGCTCTAGGAAAAGGAAACGGTGTTGATTTCGCCACCTCTTGATTTTCATTTTTGCTTGATATTTCCTTTTTGGCCTGAAAGCGGAGTCGATCTTGAAGCTCATACAAACTGCATGCGATCCTACGCACGGTTGCATTAGAAATGGGTTGTAATAGGTGAAAAGTTTGGGCCCAATTCTAATAACGACCGCGCGCTCTGAGGTGTGGTTATGCCTCCAAGTGCGATTACCTTAGCTTTCCTTCGTTTATTATTAACCGTATTTTGGCTACTATCACAGGTGTAAATAATTTGCTTATGGTTCTTTGGACTCGAAATATGTGAATTACTCAAAAGGTTCTCCAACTTTCGTTGTAAGGTTATTTTGGCATTAAACCTAACACTACTACACATCAATATTGACCACCAACTATTTTCGTCCAAAGGTGATTCTCCAAATACAAAGCACAAAAATGTTCCTTCGACACACACTTCTTCAATAATCTTAATTTAACAATCGAAGATGGCAATGATTTGGAATCTATTCAAGTGCGACGACTTCAGCCATACAAGAATTCTGCAGTGTCTGAAAGGTATTCTGCTGTGACAATTAATCTGCAGCAAACATTCGGTGCTCTGATAAGCTCGAGAATGGAAATATGCCATTCATTTTTGGTTTTTTTCTGACTTCGACTACATGGAAAGTGTCATTGAGTTTGAGCGCTATCCATTTTAGCACACTGTAGCCTCAGCCGTTTTTTGACAAGCGTAAAATTCAAAATTATAAGGCTAATTGTGTTCGAAGTAGACGTAATCACTCGGTTCTGATTGGCGCCGATGTTCCGTTTAGAATGTTTACTTTTGTTTTCGGCCTGTTACAACTTTGATCGACAGAACTAGCTGAGAGACAGGCGGAACGAAGGTCCGGCATGGTGTGGTGATGGACGCGCTAGCCCTTGGAAAGGCTAGTAGCGCGTTCGTTCCCCACCGCAGACACCTATGGTCCAGAGTTTTACAAATATCTCAGCATCGTTGTGGTTCCGATTAGAATTACAAGCACCGTAAACGTCATAACGGTATTATTTGTTTCTTTAGATAACAATCCTGTTAAGTGGAATGACGGAATAGATAAGAATGTTTTATGTTTGTAGGTAGCGTGATGTTTGCATTACGCCTAGTCGAGAAATTTGTGCAGTAACAGAAACGCTAGGGCTTGATGCAATTCAAAGAAAATTTGTTTCAATATAAATGCGATGTTCAGCTGTTCTTTCACTTCTCTCCTTGCAAAGATTTTCACTGGATCAATTCACAAATGAAGAAGAGATCGCTGAACTGAGCTATTTGAGCATGACCAAGTTCCGTTTCGAATAATTTTCACTACCTTCGTATTTGCACTGTATTCCTCCTACTCTTCGCTGGAATCCACTTGAGTCACTCATATTTTATGAATTATTGTTAAAGCAATCTTTTCTTTATGTTGAAGATTGTTTCTGGAAATTTCAGATAAGAAGCTTATTCCGCTTTGATAGCAATCTACTCCGACATGAATGGTAAACGCATGTCGCTTGTCTCGAGGGTGTCAACAATTCTATCTCGTTCAACGGCTTAGATCGTTTTTTTTTACATGAGACATATCTAATTGTTATATCTATTATAGTTTTTTAAAATTCTTCGTTTAAATTTTTCCAATAAACACAGAACTAGTCGTTCACTACTGCGGTTCTCCGGCACGATTCAATTTCGCACTCGTTGACACTACGAAGAATTCGGAAGAATCCTTAAATCAGATACTTAGCCGACAAATTCAGCCGGTAGGCACGATGTGAACTTCTGAATTCTACAAAAATAGTGTACTCAAAAAATGTCTATATCTAAAACCGTGGCAAGAACACATTCCCTAAAGCAACGAGGCAGACTCTCCCCAAACGGAATTCCACGAGTTAGCGGAAATCCAACAGTCCGTGCTATTCTCCGTTCCCCAATCGAGCATCTTCACTGCGTTTCCACTGAGATACTCACCAGCCGTGTGCTCGAAAACCAGATGTTTTCCGAAAATACGGAAAGCCACGATTATCACTTCGATTCAGAATTCTCATGCTATTATATCCCCAACCGACTTTCACGCTGTGAACAGACAGTGTTTTTCCACATTCCTTTTAATTTACCCCTCATTATTCGAAAGCAAAGAGTGTGGGCTAAAAATTAACTATTTTACGTTTTAGATTCCAGTTTATATGTAAATGTGAGAAAGTTAATGTATAGTGCAGTGGTTAATAAGTTCGAGACGACGCTCAATTTCACGTGACGCCCATTGGCGCCCATTGGACGACTTCTATTTCTCCTTTTCTGCTGCCCAGCTTGCTGATTTTTCGGCGGGGAACGTTAATCCTCTGAATGCCGATTTTTATTTAACCTCAAAATTAGTAATCAATAATTTATTGAGTGAATTAAGCGATAATTTTTCGATGACTGGAGAACTTGACAGGTTTTTAAGATGACAGGATTGTAGAGGAGACTTTTCTCTATCGCTCTATAGGTATGAATGCCATGTATGATTTTGTTCACTGTATGTTACTGTAGTCCATTATGTAAGCACATTGATGTCAGTATTTCGAAGGTTTTCCAGCTTTTGCTGAATCTCTTTCTGCACTTTTCTTATCGCGACGTCCCCCATAAGATCTGAGTTGGATAAGCTGTTGATGGTTTACAGCAAATGTTCGAATAGTGACTCTTTCGTCAAAATAAACTATAAGAAAGAGATGAGCTCTCTAGAAGACATACTGGCCACAATATCCTATCAGAAATGAAGCATGTAAAGACCAAGTTAGCGTGAACACGTTAAATGTGCTATGAGATTCCTTGTATGTTGATTCGATTCGACATTCCGATTTAGCCAATCCACCCATGCTCAACTTCACTATTCGTTTCCAAAAAATTGCTACCAGACTTATCTGGAGGGATTAGTCTCTGTTGTGATATATGGGTAGGCCCTGTAACTGATCGATTGGCCAGAAATTCATTCAGTCGACTTTACGAGGTTTGATGAAATCGAATGAATGGCTCATCTCCCTTAAAGATTCACCAGCGCCAAACGGTGGCTCCGTTTACTCGCTTATCGTACCACTTATCGATCGTTAACCGTTTATCCTTTTATTCGTTGTTTATACAATACCAAATAAGGCGTAACTATCATCTCTCGTTACTGCTACCGTTTCAATTATTACTGTAACTCACCCTGTAGATTCCACTGGAGTAATGCTCGAAGTCCGCATACATTTCAAAACCAACCTCGACCGGAATGTTGCTCATAATTTGCTTTTCGATTGCAGGAACATCCTGAGCAAACACGTAAACGAACGATCTCATGGAAAAAATTTCTTAAATTACCTTGAAAAGAGCAGCAAAAATAATGATAGAAAGATCACAGTTATTTTCGTTACCGTGTGCTTTCGAAATGTTTACAGCGCAAATGGTTGTGTTGCGCTGGTTGTTATATGGATAAAGCCTATTACATGTGATATTCTCCAGTCATACATAATTACAGTGTCCCTTAGTGAAATCCTCGTCTTTACTCCCACACTGATGTTTTCAAGCGGAATGGTAGTACACGAAAAAAAGCTTCAATGACCGAGACATCTCTTTGAGAATCGAATCTTTCTACTAGTTTATTGAGTTGGAATCTGTCACCTACGTGGCTACACACCGTAGTGCTTATCATTGTTGTAAGAGATTGGGTAACCATCCTGACACCTATGCTCGCAGGTGTTTGTTGGATAGTTGTGCTTTGGGCACTTCTGAAAATTATTCCTTCTTAAAATATTTCACGCTGTGAAGTAATGTTGAATCATGAGTAAATAATGTTTCTAATTAACAAAACATCAAACCGTACTCTCCTATTTTCTATTGCCACCTGCCTTGTAGTGACCTGCTGGGATGTGGTGCTCACAAGGTGGATAGAGTTAGGGTTTACAGCCACTCTGCAAAAGAAAATCTGACAATCGAAAGTGCAACACCGTTTAGTGAAATTGTCGGCAAACGAAATTTGCAAACTCAGAAGTTGTGCTTGGTTTTTTGAATAAAATACTTTGGAAGTATAGTTGTTACCAGTAGCAATTCCATTGGTTGCCCAATAGCTCCAGGCTTCACATAGGCCTCCATCGCACCTGAAAACTGGTATTAACACGCAAATTGAGGAAGACGTAGCTGCTAGTAAGGAACACACCCATAGCCACATTCGCTACAACAAGAGAGAAGATCGTCAGCTGAGATAGTGACCGTCTGGTTAACCTTTGAGGCTATGCAAATACGATCCGTTATTGCTTCAGCTGCTGCGACCGCCCAACAAGGGCCTAAAATCGCCATCTACTACTAAGTGATGGCAATGTAGTCGAACAGCAGCATAAATGTAAAATAATATCTTCAACTTTTATTTTTTGCTCTTTCCTTCCAGGAAGATCTTTGTACCTAGGACGTCTAGAAACGTTAGGTAGGATATCCATAAATTGGGCACAACGGATGCCAACTAACGAGAGCTTATTTTACACGGAATGTCGCTCGCTCGATGAGACGTCTAAGTTAAGGATATTTTTTGTGTTTACCACAGGAGGACTGTCACGGATGGAGTAAAGAGACGGGCATTCTGGCCAGCTTGTTCTAGAATCGAACGGTTTTGGGATGACAGAATCGTCTATCTCGTTGTGTGTCTTTTCGTTTACCTTGAATAGTCTCAAAAGCTTTTATTTCAGATTCTCATATGAAAATAAGAGTAGGACACTGGGTACTCACTCGGTACTTTGCTGGTAAGCCGACATACTTCGAGCACATGAGGCGGCGCTTAATCTAGGAAAGTTCGCGAGGCGAGGCGAAACGTTGGCCTAGGAACAATTGTTCATACGCTATTCTTGCAAGCACTCTCACTTCTATAGTAATCGTGTTAGTAATTGGGAAAACTCGTACGGTGAACAGTTTCTGCACCTTGTTGATGTAGTCGACGAATTCAGTGCCTGTGAGTTGTTCGGCTTCTCGAAGAATTTTCTCTGAGAAATAAACTTTTTGCCCACAAAAGCTGTGAACAGTGGGAAATCTATTTCTCAGGCGTTGTTATTAAATAAGGAATTGCACATAGTTATTCGTGCTTCATTGAAAAAGCTGCTGATAATAAAAGAACTCACTTGCGTTTTGAAGAAATCCTGCCGAAATAGCGATCACCAGCACAACAGCGAGTATGATGGACTCCTGAAAGCTCGCGTTTTATTGTGGTGAAGTGATCTAAGGTAGTTCGATTAGGTGAAAATGTGGATAAAAAGGATAAAGGATAAAGCTCTCGGCGTTGATCAATCCCTGAGAGATGCGCCATACATTCGACTTCATTAAGCATCATTTGGAGGTGATTGAATGCATATCTGGTCTTTACAATGACTCGCAGTGGCCTGCGAATGCATCGAGCCAGTGCTGCTATCCTCGCAGACAAGTTTGGTACCAATTTTGCCGACTCCGGCGGGTTGGAGAGCCTTTTGGGCTATGGGCGCGGGGATCGATTTCATTCACGTGTGTTGCAGGGCACCTCCGACTACTGCACCAAACGCTCCCCAAACGTGGAAGGTCGCAAAAATTTAAAACCCTACCATCACTAAGCAGTGTACGTGCGCCCATCGCTAGACAAAAGGTTTTTTGTAGAATCCTGGTAGGATGTCGTGATAAGCCGGAGGACATAATGTGGACAAACCCCTTCAGAATTACTGACCTTAAAATTTTTTCTTCATGTCGCCAATTTTTACTTACTGCGTAATAAATTTCATTGACAGCGTACTATGTGATATAACGGTAACGTTGCTGAGATATTTGCAAAACTCCGAACCGCTGGTATCTGCGGTAGTGACCAAACGCATTAATACCCTTTCCGGTGGCTAACGCGTTCACCACCACACCACGCGAGTCTTTCGTTTCGCCTGTCTCTCAACCGTGTTATTGTCTTATAGGCTATCAGCTATCACCTGTCTTTTTCTTTAATAAATTAAAGATGTGAGAGCTTCGGAGTTAACTCGTCTAGGTTTGCGAATAAATTGTTTCTCATTTCGCGACTTTTATTACATAGGGAGCTTGCGATTCTATATCCTGTCCGAAGTACTATAGGAAAAATATCTCAGATTCTGTTAGGGAATTTTTGATCACGTGGGTACCGTGTTTGGTGCCACAGTGCTTAAACGACCTCGTATCATGCTGGCTCCTAGAATTCCACTTGACTAGCCCAAAATAAGTCGCGTTGGTTCTGCTGCGGCTTGGAGATCCATATACCCTCATCGGAATGTTGCTGGTGTGTACTTTTTTTTAGGTTCCCAAAATAGTTCTTAAATCTATTGTATTTCCTTTTTGATGAAGTTCGTAGCTTCCTTACCGCAGTAAATTGCAGATACATGATAACAATAATGCTCAAGTCCAACTACGGAGTAACTCACGCAATTGATCCCTCATACGAGTAATTAGGTTGGACGACAAAAGAAAAATAGCAAGAATAAAGAAAGAATGATTGGCCAAACACTTTTTTGGGACAAAAAACACTCGTTGAAGAAAACTCATTGTTCGAAATTATTCTTCAGCAGCAAGGATGGTTATGCGATTGGACAGTTATATTTCTAAGATTTTTTCTTAAAAAACCGCAATTAAATCTAAAATTTACAAACTTCGCCTGCTGTTCTAATACATGATGTTTTTCGTGCGCTATTCCCTTGGGAATTTTCGCTTTTAGAACTGTGAAGATTGTTACCAGGATCTGGAAAGAAATCGTCACCGCCCAGTCACGTTCACCTTTAAACCTCTTTGCAGATATCGAGCCTTGTCACAGTGTGACTCCATGGAGATAGGTTATAACCCGAACAAAGTATTCAGAGGTGGTCCTTTTAACCATAGAAACCGACCGTCATTTAGTCTTGATAGTAAAATAATCAGTATGTGTCTGCGGTGGGAATTGAACCCATTATCAGCATTTCCGGAGCTAACGTGTTCACGCTACCAATACCATGCGGATCCTTTGTTTTAACTTTCTAGGTTAGAATAGGTTAAAACATAGCTGAGAAACTACATTGTTATCAAAATGTGTTTAAACTGTTAAGCCTACTCAACGTTGATAGAATGTTTTATTCGGCTAACGTTTCGATGTCTTCGTCTTCATCAGAGCTGATAACCACAGTTAATGGTCCATAGTTGTCTGCCTTCTCAATGTGGCGTCTTCATGTTCGTATCAAGCTGGATCTTCCTCAGTGGAGCATCTATCTCGAACGAGCCACACTCACTAGGCGATACTCTTTTATAGAAGGTGGTTGTTGTTCATATGACTATCCACTGATAATAATTTGTTCTTCAATAGATAATCTACCCTACAGCAGGTGGTTCTAGGTTGGTTAGCACATAGGGAATAGCAAAACAGCACTTCACAACCCATCAATCCTCAAATACATATTGATTATTTTACTACTGACGTTAGACGACTGACGATTTGTGAAATGTCGTTATGCTGTTCGCTATGTGCTAGCCAGCATAATATTAGATTGTTCAGAAACAAGTGAGCATTTTAAAATAGTTATTGTTTTAATGTATTTCTTTTACCAATAAAATGTTCTTTGTACTTTGCAGTATCATATATTTACTAAAAAGCTACTTTTATACTCTTTCTAATCAATTTCTTACATTTTGTTAAAAGTTAAATTTTTTTTTACTAATTTTGAGCTTTGTAATTCCAGGTATCAAAAACGAAGTTTCGTCAAATTTTCCTTTATGAGTTCAAACTCGGTCGCAGTGCAGCACAGACGGATGGAACATTAATGAAGTTTCGAGGAAGGTAGTGTTGGTGAAGCAACAGTGCGAAGATGACTCCGGAAATTCCTATCTGGTGATTTCGACCTCGAAGATAAGAAAGGCTGCGGACGCTCCGATGTAGTTGATGACGACGAATTCAAGGCACAAATGAAGACAAAACGCGAACGAATGTTCGAGAGCATGCAGAATATCTTGGCGTAAACACAGGAACCATTTTCGTTCACCTGAATCGCATAGAAAACGCAAAAAACTCGACAAGTGGGTGCCCGCACGAATTAAACAATAATCGAAGAAATCGCGATTTTGAAGCATCGTCTGCACTTGTTCTGCGTAACAAAGGCGACCCTTTCCTTAATCGAAATGGTGAAGCGCGATGAGAAGAGGATTCTGTGCGACAACCGCCGACATTCAGTTTAATTCTTTGTATTTTTGTTGAGCAAGCGCGAGGTGTTATTATTCTTTATTCACGAATAGGCTGACGTTTCGGCGGATTTCGCCTTCCTCACAGCCGCTTTCTATGAGGTTTCCACTATGTCACGTAGAGACCAACTGCGTATAGTATAATATAATGTGACATTATACTCCCATGTGATTTCTGTGCGGTTGCTCAACAAAAATACGAAGAATTACTTGATCAATTCCGAGGTTAATAAAAATTCAGTTTAATGTTTGGATTCCGATCAGGTTCCACAACATTTCTCAAAGCTGAAATTGCTTCAAAAAAAGGTTGTGGTTACAATTTGGTGGTCGGCAGCCAGGCTGATCCATCACAGTTTTTGAATCCTGGCGAAGCGATTACGGCGGAGAAGTGCTGCCAACAAATCGACGAAATGCACCGTAAACTCTAACAACAACGACTGGCATTAGTCAATAGGAAAAGACCAATCCTTCTCCACGACAACGCTAGGCGTCACGTTGCGGGACCATCGCTGCACAGGTTGAACGAGTTTTGCCACGAAACTTTGCATCATCCTCTATATTAAGCAGACCTCTCGCCTACCGACTATCACTTCTTCAAGAACCTTGACAACTTCCTGCCCAAGAAATGCTTCACCAACCACGATGACGCAGAAATGTCTTCAACGAATTCATCGCTTCCAGAACTCTAGAGTTTTATGCCACTAAAATAAATAAATTTTCTGTTTCTGTTTCTTTCTTATTTTTTATTAGAAAATGTGTTTCTGTTGTCTTGTTTCTTACTGGAAAATGTGTAGATTCAAATGGTTCTTATTTCTGTTAATAAAGTTTTCTTTGAACAAGTTATGACATTTTGAATCTGAAACAATCTGAAACACCCATCTATTTCTGAGCAACCTAATGCCAGCTGCCGCAGGCTGGATTATCCA